AATTGCTTTTAAAGTCTCATAAGACTGGTATGTTGTAGTTGGGGGTGTGTAGGGGTTGCGCTTTCTAAGTATGTGTAGATAACTGGTGTTTTCTATTTTTAATGCCCATGATTACAGCAGGGAAAGGACCCAGCCCTCCCCTCCATAAGGGGCCATTTTATGAACTTTTAGATTGTTTATTTTATGAGCTGAATACTCTTCCAGTGAAGTTTATTTTATTTTGGACAATTTCTGTCTCACCCCACAACAATAAAGTCTTCAGAAATCTTTCGAATGCATCATAAAAAGTGACTGCTGAGTGCAACAAGTGCAATAATAGTTTTAAAAAACTTAAATCCAAAACCTAAAAAATAGCAACATGTGATCAGCCACCTAAAACAACATCACACTCCTTCTATCCATCAGAATCCAAAATTTGTGCCCTCCAAAATGCCTGCAGATATTCACCCAAATGGCACTGACTTCCTAATAGTGCAAGCCTTGCTCCCCATTTCTGCCAGTCCTACCACGATTAGAAGGACTAAATGTGCATTTAGGAGTTTAGCTTACAAGCAAAACCAAAAATGACACACATCAGAGGGTTCCCTCAGCAGAAATGCCCCAATCTCCTTTGAAAGTTTCAGTGGTTTGGAGGGCCGTACACTCCCTCCTCTAGCACAGTAAAACTGCAGAATATGATCTCCCAGTAATTTCCCTTTTAATGTAAAAGTAATTGAAAGTTTCTTCAGTGCTTATTCAAATTAATATACTTTTCAGATCAAAGAATGTAAAAGTAGCTCCTCCTATCTCCCAATTTCCTGCCTTTCTTGGCAACAGGGCCATTGATCTCGTATGTCTGCAGAGAATAATAGCTTATCTGCCAGCTGTCAGGACACAGCAGGAATCATTTAAAGCAGATGGTTTACAAAGACCAGCCGATTGAAACAGGGAAACCTGGAGCAGGAGGGCCTCATGCCAGTGTTTCCTACTATCCAGATTGCTGAATCAGCACATTTTCAACTGTACATTTTGGCACAGACAGAACAAAAGGAGGAAATCTTGACTCTCTGCCACTTGGGCTCACTTTATTTCCAGAGTGGACACAAAACGGCAATTGTGTGTCTTGTATCATCTTAAAGACTCAAATGCATCGTGACTTGAGCTTTCATGGACTCACATCTGTTTCATTAGATGCATGTATGCTAATTGCTTGACAATGAAACAAAACCTCAACCTGGACTTTAAAGAAGCAAGTGCACTGGGTCCCCAGCAGCACAGGGAGGCTAGGACTGGGGCAGGAGGGCCTTGGGGAGGCTATCAGCCATGGGGAAAGGAGGGCGCAGCCGGGGTGGCTATTGCTGTGTGATTGCCTGTGTAAGTCACTGATCAGGTAGATGTGAAGACCTGGGGGGAAATGTTTCTCCCCCTCCCCATTTTTTTCGGAAGACCTTTTTTGCATTTCTTCAAAACAATTGGAAAAATTGAATAATTTTGGATTGATTTTTAAAGTCTTTAAAATGATTTTTAAAGAAATATATAGGTAGATTTTTTTAAAATAATTACACATGTTGTTACCTGGCTTTTAGTCCTCCAAAATGGTTTCTAAAAACTACATAATAGGAAGATGTTACATTTCTTGAAACTTCAGCTGTAAAACTTAACAGGGATCACCGCAATAAACCCTCCTGCCTAAAGGAAACTTACTAACCTGGTTGCTGTGTTTAACTTTGGAATTGATTTCATCACTGTAGACAACCTTTCAAATTAATTAAAATTAAGATGATTATTAAAGATAACCATTTATAAAAAGGAATAAAATATCACTCTTCAAATCATGAATAGCAATTGCTTGAAGGTTATTAAATTAAATATGAATTGTTAACATTCCCAATGCGTGGGCACTTGCCTGATGTACTCAGACACTTAAGTGCTTAAGAAAGGATGTATATTCAGGATCTCTTACACCTGAGTGGGCAACTTTGGGTGATCTTGGGGCCATGGTCAGCACATGGAGCACTGCAGGGGAGCTAAAAAAGAGAAAACTTACTCTTGGAATGTTAAATAACTCATACCGAGTATTTTTTGTTTAATGCTAAAGTTAACTGGTTCAATGTTCTTATAGTAGTAACTATGGTGGGAGGGGCTAAAAGGCTTTTTTTCATGGAGGGGGGCTGCAGGAACCACAGGTTGCCCACCTTTGCCTGATGCAGTAGCTGCAGAGTGGCAAAAAGTGAGCAGACAGATGCTCCCTTCTCCATGTTCCCAAGCAAGCAAATGCCCCTCCTTGGCCCACGTTCCCACGTAGCCTGACTTGGGCAACGTTTGTGTTTGCTTTGGGTTGCATGACTTTTTGGGACTGCCCACTTAAAGCACTTTTGGCATGTAGACTACAATTACAGCAACTAGCAGTGCATTTTAAATTAATGACCAGCACCAAAGAGTATTAAAACAGTCGAAGGTGTTTTCGCACTACTCTGCCAAAGCAGCCCTATGAGAAACAGATTCAGATAGGACGGGTGTACATGTGTCCAAGTTGGTGGACAAGTAAAGATCTGTAGATGTAACTTTTACATATACCCCTCTAGTAATTGTTCAAAATTGTTTGCCATATTACCTGCTGCTAGTTTTTCAAGTATATTAAATTTGTTCACCATCTGCTCTAAAAGTACAGGGAGCTATACTGTGCCTCAGCGGTGGCACCCGGCCTTCTCCTTCCTGTGGCTGTGAAGTATGATCCTTGCCCGCTGTGAGCTCTTCCTGGATGGTTCTGAATGCCCCCGCAGTTGCAGCTGCTCTTTCATAGAATTTTATTTATTTATTTATTTATTTAGGAGACTCCTATGCCGCCCCATTCACCGAAGCCTCGAGGCGGCTCACAACCATAAATAAACTTCAAAATAGAATAATATAAATTAACAATATAAATTAAGTCGCCCTGGCCATCGAATGGTTTGTTCGATGCTCCCATGCCAACTTATCTTCTCTCCCCACTGGCCTCCCTCATGCCACTGTGGAGCTTGACCTGCAGTTCAACCAGTTTGACAGCCTGCTGGCAGCCTCTTTCCCAGATCTGCCTGAGCTCACCACTCTTTACCTGGGGAGCAGCCACTTGCGCCAAATTGAGCGTGGAACTTTTCAGGGTCTGAAGAATTTGTACCACCTCCATCTGGACAACAGTCTCTTAAAAGAGATCCCAGAAAGGGGCCTTTGAGAACCTGACCAATCTAGTGTTTCTACACCTGGAGCACAATCAAATCGCTTACCTTTCATCAGGTAATTTCCAGATTGGTTGTTTTGTAGCACCATTATGGAATTCTTGCATCTCTCTCCTTTCTTCTTTCTCAACTATCTCGGGGTTTCCATAGTATGGGGAGGAGGAGTTCAGGCTGAGGCATGTGGAGTGAAGTATAAGTGGATGGGACATGTAAAGATTAGATGAACGCCAACAGTTTACTGACTCTTAAGCACAAAGCTGACCTGGAATGGTTTAATACAAATAGGCTTGCACAACTCACCCAATCTAATTATGCTGATACCTTCATATTGTATTAAGCTGGGGTGAACAGTTCATCACAAGAGCAATAATACACAATGCCGGGGTTTGTGTAACACAATCATCATTTGTCAGTTGGTGTATCAACTTGGACCAATTTCCTTGGGGTGGCTTCTCCACTGGCAATTAGCCATCCCAACAACCATGGGCTGTGCTATATTTGCTACATTCCCAATGTTGCCTGAACCTGGGCAACTGACTGGCCCCATAGTAAGCATAGAGAATCACTACAGAGCTGCTTAGCACAAGTGGCCCAGTAAAATAAAATAAAATAAAATAAAAATAAAAGAGCCAGTTTTGCCAAGTGGCTCCTGGACAGCTGCTAGTACCATTTATCCCCAAACTGCACATGCAGGCAAATCCAGAACACTTGGATAGTAAAGGACAAACAGCCAGGAGTTTTATCTCAATAATAAAAGCTGATGCAAAGGAGATGTGGTAAGCAGGTAAGTGAGAGAATGCCAATTAATCGTGGGTTGTTTAATCCATACTTTGTTACATGTGAACTAGGGCTTATAAGTATTAATAGACTGTTCATCTTGCACATAGAATAGGCACACAAAACTAAACTAATTTGGTGCCCTCCCTGTGAATTCTGTAGTCTCTGCGGCACAAAAGCAGATATTTCCCTTTTGGTGAGAACAAGAACAGTTGCTATTCCTTCTGCAGATTTAGGATTAAACTAACACAAAAGCAGGCTTTATTAAAGATCAATGTTGCAATATTGCAGGAGGGATCAAGAGTGTAATTCTATACTAAAGCAAATAAAATTACCAAAACAAAACAAAAGCAGACTACCTCCCCTGGGGGCATAAACAAGTTAATATTGAGTTGTGTGGGTATGGAGATAGGAAAAAAGGTCAGATTTGTTTATTTGCCTCTCCCAGTAGTTGAAGCTCTTTGGGCAATTATTGGGAAACAAAGTCAATACACTGTGGTTTGTGGTGGTGTCTGTGTGTGCTATTTTGCATATCCAACTGCAAAGCATACCCACTACACCATGGCAATTGCTATGGCATGCAAATCATTTATTTATTTATTTATTTATTTATTAAAACATTTTTTAATAAATGTTAAAATTTTAATAAATATATATATATATGAATGAGATATATGGTATGTTCTAGGGTTCTGTGAGGGCTGTTTAACCCTTTGTTTGCACAGCCTGACAAACTTCAGGCAGAGGTTGGTTACAGGAATTGGTGGCTGCACATGCCCTCCACATACTGCAGGAACTGACCTGCTATGATGTATTGTGTGAAACAGCCCACTATGACTAATATGGTCTGTGAAAATGAGATGCATGCCAGTGTTCTTACTTTTATTTACTGAAATAATTATACCCAGATTCTCAAAATTGCCAAGGGACTAAAGCATAGGATACTCTTACCACACCTTTGACTTCAGAGAAAGGAGGCTGCAAACCCTAAATGTGAAAATAGCATAGCACTAACTCTCTCTCTCTCTCTCTCGCTCTCTCTCTCTCTCTGGTGCATTTTCCTCTTTGAAGCAGCTGAGCGTCCTTGATTTAAGTCATAACCTGTTGACTGAACTTTCAGACAAGGCTCTTAGTGGCATCCAACAGCTACGCCAACTTGATCTCAGTGCTAATTTCATTGCCAACTTGTCAGTCCACACTTTCCCAGGCAGTTTGCGCATCCTCCACCTCAACCACAACAGGCTAAAGAGTGTGCCAGTTGCCACCTGCAATTTGGTAATGCTTTCCAGCCTTCATCTAAGTAGCAACCCAATCAGGGAGCTGACAGCTCTCTCCTTTGGAAGGAAACTTGGCTCCTTGAGGCAGCTGTTCTTAGAAAACCTGCCCCTGGAGAACCTTACCAGCTCAGCATTTAAAAGGCTATGCAGACTTGAGGTCCTGAGCTTGAGGAATAGTAGCCTGGTATCTCTGTTATCTCTAAAGACGCTCTCTACTTTGTATTTGACTGGTAACAAGTGGAGCTGTGACTGCAGCTTGATCTGGCTTCGTACCTGGCAGAAAAAAGCATCGAGAAAAGATCGCAGCTCAGTGGAGTGCAGCTCACCAGTGGCTCTACAGGGACAACAGCTTGTGAATATCGAGGTAATTGTCAGTTCGATTAACACCAGCAGGGCACAGAAATGTTGTACCAGCAGGACAGCCTGTTTATTTTTAAAGTAACTTTAGCCATTACTTTGCATTTTCCTTTAATTCCTCAGTTTAAACAGAGCTCTACTGATGGATTTGGTAGGCAAGTGCCTTTGGGGGACTTTTTCAGGAAACGGCATGTGGAAGCTATTTCCTGTGTAGGCCAAAGCATTTTCCTGTATAGGGTCAGCAGCTGAGACTACACAGCACCGAAAGAGGCTCCCTTTAGATAACAGCAGGAGGATAGAACTCTCAGAACTGCCATGAAGGCAGTGAGAGCACCGTGAGACGCTTGTTCCATAGCTCCCTATGAGACTTTATTTGGATTTTTTAAATATAGCATTATTTGTCAGAGGATTGTGGCCAATACCAATATAAACAATACACCCAGCCTTCTATCCTGGTTGCCCACCTGCCTCCATTTCTCCTGCAAGCCTTGCACAGCAGCTTCTTTTCAGCTATGCTGTTTTTTCTCCACCAATTATAATTTGTCAGTTTTTAGTGAGTACAAAAACTCCCTGACCAATTCCCCAGAACGTACTAATATAGTATATATAGTAATATATATATACACACACACAAATATAGTATATATAGATGGTATATAGCTAAGTAGCCAATCTAGTCTTGTGTTGTTCATCATTCTGCCAGCACTGTATGCATGAGAAACAAAGCTGTCACCAAGTCAAAAGCTCAGGTTGTGGAAGGTGAAGCCTGTAGGTTCAAGAAGTCCCTTTTACCAGGTCAGCTGGCTCCTGATTTCATCAGGTGGCCACCTTTTATCGGCATGCATCCATCCTTTCTTTTGACAAGAGGGTGGCTACTTGTTTGCTATACTGATTTGTTCTGTGTATCAAGTCAGGTTCTGGTTTTCTTTAAGTGAAGGGATTCTGATTCTCTTAAACACAATTTCCGAAAAAGGATTGACAGTGCTCTGTACAACCACAGTTGCTGTCTTTGCCTGCACAAAGGCTACACCAGTTTGACATAAGTAGGCTCTGACTGTGGAAAGCTTGGGCTGGTGGTTTATACTCTAATCTATTCTTGTCTGATTGGGTACTCGTTACTTTTTCAAACTTATATATAACCATAATTATATTCCATAACATTGTCATGTATACACTTTTAGACATTTGCATAACTCATAGCTCAGAATAAATACTCTTTCCACCATTAAGTGTTAATATAGAGAAAAACTAGAACTGTGTTCAAGGTTCATGGTAACAGGAGACAAATTCCTAATGTACAACTTGCAGAACCAAAAAAGGGTTGTGTTAAAAGGTTTCAAAAACTTGATCAAAGCGAAAACTTGATCAAAGCGAGGATTCCTATTTCATACCATCTTCTAGGGTAAATACAGTAATATAAATGTGATGATGATGATGATGATGATGATGATGAAAATTAGGCAATACTTTCCCCAACTCAAAGATAGTATGATGGAACTACTATCATACTATTATGCACATCATTGCTTCTGATGTGCATAGTAGTCCCATAGCACTACCTGGCAAGTTGGTTTTAATGTTTGTATAATGCTGCAAGAATATGCAAACCCTGCCATCCAGGGGCAGGCAAGAAACAGCAGGACAAAAATGCATACATCATTCATAGGCATTGTTGTCCCTCTTCCCATCTTTGGTTCTCTTAAGAGGTTCAGCTTAGAAGTTCTGCAAGTTTTCCTATGAAACCATGAAGTTCTGTAGTTGAGGAACATCCACTGTACTAAATTTCTCAGGAATTTTCCTTTAAAAAGTGTGTCCACCCCTATTACACAATGTGACACTGAATAGGATTGCTGATGTGTTTTCCTTTGCACTTGCTTGTCTTTCCTTTTGTTCAGTTACAGAAGCTGACACGTCCACCTTTTCAAACTGTTGTGGACACAATCAGTCATTCCTCCGCAAATGTACAAAAGGCCACTACTCCATTCACAAAAGAACCTTTGCCAAAGGCTGCTACTACACCTCCTACCACTGCTTTAATTACCAGCATGGTGACCACCACCACAGGACCAGCGAGCTACCACAGTGCCATCGCAGGACCAACACGGCCTGATAAACCTTATATACTAGAGAAATATGACCCCTGCCTCTCTGACCACATTAATAGCAGCAGCACACGGACAAAGGGCAACACTGCTCTGGTGGTTACTGGTCTTTCTATGGAAATCACAACCAGTTTGAAGTACGCTGCAAGTCTTCTCTGGATCAGCACATACTCCAAGTGATTGGAGGTTTAACAGAGATTGAGCTTCATCATCTCCAACCAGGGACAGATTATAAAATGTGCATTATCCCCCAAAACAAGAATATCTTTGAGTGTGTAGTCCCTACAGCCCAGCAGTGCACCGTAGGGCATACCAGAACCCAAATTCTGCCTCAGCACAGCAACTTAGCCCTGGGAACTGGCATCAGTATCACAGTTTTGGTTATGCTTGCCCTGGCCCTCTTTGCCTTTTACAGGTGCAGGGTCCAACCAATCCGGTTCCAGTGGTACTATAATGAAGCTGCCTCATCTTCTCAGAACCAAGGCGTTGCCCAGTCCAAGCTGACCTCAGAGTCCTCCTGTGAGAACTCGGAGAGTGACCAGCATGTTTATATGACAGTAGCCAGCCAATGGCCTGAAGAGGAGGTAGACTGCACCCCACTGCCTCATCCAGATTTTCATCCACACCAGTTTATGTCTCTGATATTTAAAGCTACAGAAACTTCAGGCTCCAGGCCTCCAAGCCCAATTAGGCAATTGCAAAAGGGGCCAATCATTATTAATAGCATTCATATTTTTCACAGCTGTGGGTAAGAGTGGCTGAGCTATACTTAAACATAGATACTGAAGTAGATAGGAATTAGATGGGAAGCATAATCTAAAACTGCTCTTTTTATAAAGATTTACTCAAAGAAACAAAAATAACTGTTATTCCTTTTTTACAATACAGTGAAGAAAATTTTACTTATATACTCATGTTTGCATCAAGCTTAGATATGCCTGAAAGGAATTCCATCTGTGTTATGTCAGTAATTGTCAAAATACAATGTTGCAGGTTAGAGGAGGACAAACAGGCAGAGATGCCATCACAGCTGCAGCTGGACTAGCCAGGACTAAGCCCTCTCATCTGCCATCTTTCAGAAGCAACCCTACCAGGATAAAGGGCAGTTTAAATGCCAAACTGGGAGGCTTATGGGCATCCAGTGCTGAGTGGGAGAAGCAGCAGAGGCAATGCTCAAAAAATTGCCTAGGTGAGAGATTTTTGTCTAACCGGAATGTCTCAGAGGGGGAAGGAAGGAGGCCAGAGCACCTTCAGAATGTTTTGAATGTTGGCCTCAATGGTTTTTTCCCTTCCCACCCCCTGAAATATCCCATTTCAGGGTAGCTTTTCTGCTAATGCAGATCTTTCTGCATTGCTGCAAGGAGAGCAATGGAATACTGGTTCTCAGCTCTAAGGTTGCTGACCTTGGATGTGGAAGTCCAAAAAGTACACTAACTCTTCCTGATGCTGGCTAAAGGCCATAGAATCACTCCATGATAGAGCCAATTGCCCATATAGTGTAATCAAATCCCATTTGTGACAGAATTCATCACCTATAGTTTATGACATGACTGCTGTATTGATAAATAACACCATATGGTTCCATTTTTTCAGTTCAATTTTTCCAGTCCAAATTTGCCTTCTGCCATCTGGAGTAAACCTGCAGGTCATGTGTGCTTTGAATACCTCACATATTTGGAGCTGGCTTAAACATTGCATTGCAGATTCACAATCTGTTTCTCAGGGTTTTTTTAATGAAATGCAGCTGAGGGGCTGTGAGTGTTAGCATAACAATGGTATGAGGGAAGGGGAAACATTTTAACTGTAGACTATTTTTACCTTCAGTGTTATATTCCAGTTATTTTCCCATTTGTAAGGGGAAAACTATAATATTGTTCCCACTTTAAGAAAAACTGTTCCCCACAGGCCAGGTGAAAAACAACAAGTGATGATCAAATTGGCAGCCCCCAGCTACATTTCTTCAGTTATGAAAAGTGAGAGTAATACCTAGAGTTTGCTATTCTAAGGCTGCAAATAGCTTTTCAGAGCTGAAAGAAATACAGAAGTGATACCTTAGCATTCCCATACTCCTTCTGTTTGCCCCAAAAAGATGTTGAGCATTTTGAAACACTGCAGAAATCTAGAGACCATTTTGACAAGGGATAACTGCAGGATAATAGTGGTTATTTTTGTAAACTGACAGTTTTTGAAGAGTTGGAATGTAAATTTTGTATAAGCCTGGGCTACCAAATCCCATAGATTGCTCTTTCCATAAATTTGTGAACACACCAAACACTACTAGAATTGTTCCACTGTTCCTGTATATACATCATAGTGGTAAGTCATGGGTTAATTAACATGCATTGTCCACAAACAGCTTCCATTTCAGTAAAGTGCCTCCAATTGACCTGAGGTTGTAAATAGGCTATGCAAACCCAGGCTGTTGAGTTTTTTAACTCAACCTAGCACTTACCCAAAAATAAGCCATGATTAGCTGCTGCAATTGGTTAATCAACTGGGTTGATCAGAGGCAGTTTATAGAAAATGGAAGGATTTTCTTACTGTGACGTGTCAGCTAGGTAATTCATGGATAGTTTGCTGAGTTGAATCCCATTTTCTTGAACACAAACGTGACAAAGAGCATTACTTCACTGAAGAAAAACAAACTATGTTTATCAACTACAGCATTTAGCTAGCAGTTAAAGTATGCAGTTTAACATTTCCATTCATAGTTGATTAAAGCAGCAATTGAAAGAAGAGGCTACTTCCTAAATGAAGGCAATTCATTTAGGAAGGAGATAAACTGTTGAGCACCATTTTTGTAGGGAAGTAAAATATTCTTACTCCCCTAGTCGTCCTCTTTAAGCAATCCACTAGGAATGACTGCTGTGCAAGTCCCATTTAAATGAATGACTTGTCCTTTATTTCCTTCCTTTGCAGAGGAATTACCTGGAGATTATCCTAAAATCTGTTTTTTCCTATTGAATAAAAAAAGCCCTTTTGCTTAGACTGGAGAAAATCTGTGAGAAGAGAAACTAATTTGCAATATGCTCCACTCTTCATTCTGCTGAGGGCATAAAACATAATCAAGTGTAGTAGTACTACAAACTTTAAATACTGACATGGAAAATAACTGCAAGTGTAAAAGCTAAAAAAAAAGGTAGAAAATGGTCATTATTAGAACTGAATATAGGACTCTGCTTATTGTCCATTTCACATCTGCTCAATGAGCACATTTCCATATATGGGACCCTCACCCAACAGATGAGTTGATAGAATCTTCTATTTCATAACCAATAATTCTCCCACCTGGAGTGGTAGTAGAAAGAGAAATAATAAATAGAAAAAGATTCCAAGGGAAGTCAGAATTGATTATGCTTATTCTGAACTGAACCTATTTTAATTGGGCACATATTTATGTATACCACTATAGTCTCAAGCAGGCCGCCAGAATCAGTCTTGTTAGTGGAGAACATCAGTGTGTAGTGAAGAAGGATCACACATGTGAAGAAAGCAGGCAATGAAATGTCCCAACTGCACCCCCTACACTTGCCACATCACAAAATGCTTGGAAATAGCCAAAAGACTGACACTGCTTGATAATCTGGTGCTTGTCTACAAATGGAGGGGGAAAACCAAGTCCAAAGCATAATGCCAAAATAAACTTAGATGGAGCATTTGAATGCTATCCTAAGACAGGTGGTCCTTTAACAAATGACAGCACGAGATATTAGGTGAGTCCTAAGTCCTGACAACAACTGAATTTAGTCCCAGCTGTCTAAAATACAAGAGAACCTCAAAGAAATACATCCTCCCCCAAAGTAAGAAAACATGGGGAATGTAGAGTCCACTTTGGAAACATGGAAGTTAAACACAACCCACCCAAGAACAGTGAACCAAAAAAATAAAAATAAAAGCACACGGCAGAGTTCCTCAAAGTTTGTTATAGCAGAAGGCAGCCAAGATATCCTGGTATGACAAGACAGGCAGAATGTGTCATCCCAAAGTCTTGATGTCTTTGTCTGCTATCCACCTCAGAGCACTGATGGCAGTCCTATCATGGGAAGGTGCACAGCTGGTTCTGTCTTACAGCTGGTGGAGTGTTTGTAACAGCAAGTGGCGGGCAAATGAACATGAATCCAAAGCACAGTTGGGCCTGCAGAAATAAAATAGAAAGGAAAAGGGGTCAAGCATTAATCCCAGAACTTCCCTTTATATATATCCAAATTGACTGATATTCTCAAAAGGGTAAGTTCTGCTATTCTGCATCTCAGGAACTACATTCTCTAGCCCTGGAGCCCACCAAAGGCAACTGCAATCATAAAATACTTACTGTGGGGCAAACTGTTGTGGAAAACAGGTTACCTGTAGGAGAAGGAAAGCTAAGGGCAAAGAGGCTCTTGCACTGGGGAAGTCTGTACTGGGCATCTTTTGAATATGCACATTTATACATAGTCCACAGTAATGTGGGCAACTATACTTTGCTGGCACAAAATCATGGTATTAGCAAGCATCACTGCATGACTTAGATCAAGTAAGCAGTAGCCAAAAAGGGCAAGTTATTTAGGTCACAGTTCTATGGTGATACCCACAACCCTTTGAACTCAGAGGAATAAGGATGTCCCATGCAAGGAACGTCATGCAGTTCTATGCTCTCCTCCTCTTTGCCACTGCTCTCCTCCCACTGTGTAAAGCCTCTAGAGAGCCAACTTAGGCTGTCTAACCATGGCACTTCAGAAGGAGAGGGAAGGAGGCTGATACACTGTCAGGATAAATTGCCTCTTGGTGGCACCAGTCTTCTTCTGCCACAGAACACTTTCTCTGAAGTCACTGTTAAAACCTTGGAGAAGCAGTTAGCATGGATGCAGAGAGGGGGTGGAGGGGATCCAAATATAGGCACCTAGACGCAAGGACAGAGCTCTTTTCGAACTTTGGATATGTGAATCAACAAGTCTTATGGCCTTTAAGTCCTATCTAGGAGCCAGAAGATTGCTCTGTAACTCTTCTATGACTAATTGTACTTTTCCAGGGCATTAGGGTATGTCCATTAGGGTACGTCCTTCACAAAATATGAGGATGTGCCATTGGGCTGGAAGAATAAAGTCAGTTGGTGAGGCTTACTTCACATGTTCTTCAAGGTTATCCTACATTTGTTTTCATTGGAGAACAAGGTATAGTTGATGTCAAGGAAATGTGATTTACTACATTATTCCTATCCCCACATCCTCCATTCAATTCAGTTGATGATTCTTGTTCAAATTCTTTTGGGAATGAGGAAGTAAACTCTAGGAATGTAGAATGAATGCCTAGTACATAATGAGAAAAGGAAACTCTAAAGATGCCATATTAAATAAGGATTTACCTATTGGGTATCATATGTTGAATGTTTTAAATATCTGTGTGTGTTCATTTAGTGTGCAAACAGGAAATATTATAAACCAAATGCATTAGAAGTTCAAGGGGTATCTATTAGGGTACCCAGTGACTTTTCCCTAATGTGAGGCTTTTGAAGTCCAGGAATTCATGTACTTGCTTTCCATCAAGATATCTGTATCTATCTATTTCAAGTAGTCTTGGTTGTAGAATGATAAGTGATTTTAACTTTCAAATTCAAACATTGGGTTAACATGTTAATTACCCAAATTAACTTCGCTCACTGTTATGGTCAGTTTTGAAATTAGAATACACAAAGCTAGATGAGTAATGTGTTATGCAGAAGGAATAGCTTCTATTAGATTTTTTTAAAATGTGCAGCTAATTTTTCTCCCAAAGGGAAGCATAATACTTACTTTGTGACAAAGGCCAAGAGAACCGGGACGAGAGACTTAGGAAAATAATCCTGCTGGACCATATGGTTCAGAGTCATCAGAGGGCCATAAAGACTAGGAACAGCCTTGATCTTCTCTTCACTCTAGAAGATGGAAACAGACGGGAATGAGCTAAATAAGCAATTGTACCTGGGGCAGCCTGAGACATTTGGTGAAATGCATTGATTCAGCCTTGCAAAAGCTCTAGGTATTATTAGAACCTGCCCAATTCTCTCTCTTCTTTCCCCCACATCTGTTTCCTTACATACTGCAAACTGGCTGTCTTCCTCAAGGCTTTAGAAGCCCAAGCAGACAGCTGGAATAATCTCATGATCTCTTTTGCATGAGGAATGAAAACACAGAACTATATCATCAGTGCCCATTCTGGCCTAAAAGGACTAGAAAAGGTCAACCATGCAGCTGCTATACTGGTTCTACTTCTGCAAGGACAAAATAGGCTTAGAATATGTGCAATGATGATGGGAAAGAAATTTCTCATTCATGTGCTGCTTGAGTATAACTGACTCCAGGCCCTGTCTATGCAAGCAGGTTATTTGCATTCAGTAAATGCTACAAACAGAAATGGGGGCTTCCATTTTAGAATATCAGAACATGTTTATATTTATATGTAACTGCTAAGTATGCATAGAGCCTTATATGGTTTGGAAAGAAGGACTTTCTCAAGACAGAACTCACATGACAGAGTGACTCCCTAGAGGTTGTTTAACCCATAAGCAGCAGCATGGGTAAAACCAAGCTTAAATTGTGGTACTTTTTGGAATGAGAATTCAGTGCAGCTTTACAGATCACAGTTCATAACTATCACACAGAGTCTACCTCATGCCTCACCTTGAGTAATCCCATGTGAATCAGAAGGCTGGTAATGAAAGCATCAGAATTGAAGGTAGCAGATGAAAATGCTTCCCTCATCAAAGCATCTGAGAGAGACAGAGAGAGAGAGAGAGAGAGAGGCTCTTGTTTAAGAGGTCAAGAAGCTCTCATCTTTATGATAGCAGGCAATTTGATTTAACCCATATCTTCTAAAGCCCCAGGCCAGATATCATGCTCACCATCAATACCCGGTTTAGGTAGCAGTTTCAACAATTCCAAAGGCTACACATGATAATATTGTGGAATCCCAAGAAAAGGACTGGCCACAACTTCCACCCACTCTGCATACTATCACAGCATGCAATAGATGAGACTAGTTGTGGGGATGTGATGGCCTCCAGATGTTATGGACTACAAATTGCTGTAAGCCATCCTGAGATATTTATATAAAGGACGGCATACAAAAGTTTTTAATAAATAAATAAATGATAAATCCCCATAATCCCTGAAGGATTGGGAATAGAGTCCAGATAGATTGGCTGCAGCTTACTGGGGTTGCAGTCCGAAACACCTGGAGGCCATCACATTGCCTTTCCTTGCCATAAGGCCACAAAATTAACAAGTAGCTGATTAGTTCTACTATAAGATATCATGTAAACAGTTTAAAAATAGCATGTTGGGGAAGGAATGGGGAATATCCATATTGGATATGAAGTTGACCTCCAGCTGCGTTGAACTACAACCCTGATCAGCCTCCTGCGCTATAGTACTTGGATGGTGTGTACCTACACCTGGGAGACTGAGTGTGATGGCCTAATGGCCAAGGTATTCACCTCTGGATGTTAAAAAGGCATGCTCACCTGTTGTTTCATTCACTGCTGTTTTTACTGTTGCCTCATCTTTGAATACAGAAGAGATCTTCAGAAAAACTGTGACAAGCTTTTCTATGTCAGATGTGTCTGTCTAAAAGAAATATAACTTTATAGTCTATGGCAATATATTTAATCATTAGAAAGAACAACAGGGTTACCATGGCTGTTATACTTGGAGTCATAACCCATAATAACGATAGCACAGCAACTTCCATTTAAATAGTAACCATGTTTTTCCAGGGAAAATGCATGAATGGAAGTGGAAAATTTTAAAGAAAAGGATGGATATAGCCACATAGTAAAGGCTTATGTAGCTTTCCCAGTGGCATTTTACAATTTCCACAATGAATCATCTGGGATATCTAGTAAGATTCAATCTCCCATCTATAGTTTTGCAAAAAGATAACCACCATCTGACTCAACTTTTTCCTAGCACAGGAAACAAATATCTTAACTGCTATGAGAGATTAGGTCTTAGAACTCTTTAGAAATGCAATCACTTACTACAGCCTTAGCTTGTGGATTGAATTCTTTAGGAATTCATTTAAAGAGAAGCAAGTTCTTTTCCTGTTTTCCTTACATATTTGTATGCAAAGCATTCTTATATATAAGAATGACAGGAAGAACTAGATAAAGAGTGGAACAACTGAAAAATGGGTACACCAGTCACCCCAGATACATCAAACATCTGTGTACATGAGGTTTACCTGCTGAGCTATCAAGGTTGAGCATTTGGGGCCCAATCGCAACAGTTTCTCTGGAGATGGGAAAGCTAGAAAAGTGCCAACATCCACAGGAGGAAGAAGGGGAGAAGACACTGGAGGAGAATCCTGGAATAGATAATGCTGAAAATTAGTAGTTCTCCAGAAAACTCACAAGCACTGGAACCACAGCACTGTGGATGAGAAATGGAGGAAAAGACAGGATAAATACAGAGAAGATAGTTATAACCTAAGGGTTTGATCCAGACTTTATCATATTTAAGAGTATTATGGCCAATTTAAGCCCCACTGATTTTAGTAGATCTACTGCAACAAAACCTGGCTCCCACCCAATATACAAAGAAGGTTCCCATAAAGATTGAAATTAAGTGAGCTGGGAAAGACATCAGACGAATAGAAGATAAATTAACATTTCAATTTATGCTCACATGCCCGAAAAGCAATTGGGGTCTGATTTAGCATGTTTGATAAGTTGTAGTGGATACAACTTAGAAGCACTCCATGTTAATTTATGTTCTGACAAAGAACCATACCTATTTCTGCTATTGATGTAGTGATAGTATAAGCATGCTCTTGCACAATGTCATTAATGTATGTGGGTGCAATGGGCTTTCCAGGGAAGCCTATAGCACCAGCATATACATTAGTGTTGCATTCAGTAGTGTACCAGTAACTTTGAAAAGCAAATGGTCATTGTGATGCTCCCAAGGAGAACCCAAAACTACAGGTAGCTGTGTTGATCCATATTGACAAATAGCTTCTTGCAGTTTTTATCTCCACCAGAAGCAGGTCTTTTGTAAAGTTAGGAGTCTTCATTGCTCTCTTAAGACCAAGCTATCCTTAACTCTTTGCATCACAACTGGGAACAATATATACTTTTGCTAGAATTTTTTTTCCTCCATAGCTACCAGGAGGGCTGTTGCAAGAGGAAAACAAGAATTTCAGGGTAGAGGTGTGTGTGCATGCCAGATGACATCTGCATCCCTGCTAATCAAAGATTGCCAGAGCTCCAAAGATTGCTATGAGCCCTGGCCCCATTCCACCACTGCTTGTTTTAGAGGTTGCAAGTGTAATAGTGTACATCAATCAATAGTGTAAGCAAAGCAGCCATTTTGGATACTGCTCAATATGTCCCAAGACATTTTTCCAACAGTCAGAATTATTGAAACTAAATATTTGATCAAGAAAAAAGATTTAGATGAAGTGCACTTAATGTGGTTTAAAAAGATATATTTAAACAGTTCCTTAACTTTAATTGGAAATTATTTTTACTGGAATGCTTGTGATTATTTGAGACAAGTCAACTTAATCACATATGCTTCTTTGCATTGTTTAAGTTTCAAAATAAAAATAGGATACTGAAATAGTAAATAGACTCGTTTTAGCCTCATACAAAGGCTAAAACCTTTGTACGAGTCTACTCGTTTTGTAGACTCGTACAAAGAATTATGCTTTTATATTATGCATGCATGTTTCAAGGGAGTCACCTGGAAACAGCCTGTAAAATTTAAAGTGTTATGAGACTGTATTCCTTTAAATGTTTTCTAGTTTCGGAAGTTTCAGAAGAGCACAGTGGGGTAAGAGGAGGATGAGTGAGGGAGGTGACTGGCTGGTGACTGAAAGTATATAGGCAGAGCTTGGAAGTGTGTGAGGAGAGAGAAACAGACACTTTGAGTCAGTCCGTTGTGGCCTGTCAACAATTAGCAGTTGGTTGGAATCAGTCAGTGGTCTGCAGAATCTGAAGAGGCAGCCTTCTCTTTAGAATCCTAGGCAGTGTTATGGGAGACATTTCAGATTCACAAGAACAAAGGAAATAGAGTACTTGGAAGGCATGTTTGTGACTGAGAGTCAAGACTTAATATTGTCAAGTATTATAAGGATGTGTGCGAGAGAAGCTGACTGAAACCTGAATGTAGGAGAGAAACAAGGATCTGTGTGTGAGGAATGTGAAAGAGTTGGAAGTTGTTGTTATACATTGTTTCATTCATTAAAGAAATAAGTTACTGAACATCTTGAAACCAATATGCTTATTGTACAAATAAAGTTTTGTTTTATTGTTAACCTAGAGGCATAGGCTATTTGAATGTTAGTGTCTTACCTTCAGGACCACATAGTCCAACAAAGGAAACTTATAGCTTGGGCACAATATTGAGGGAGAGGTTAATTAACAGGATTGGAATTAAATTCCTTGTGGCAACAGGGAAATATCAAAGAAAGATAAAGACACCCATATCCAAATAAATATAGGCGAATACCCAGGACATAGTTACAGCTGACTGATACGGTATTCATTATGTTAATAATAATTAATTTTATGCAATGTATTTTTTGGAAATGGAAAAATTTCCATAGAAAAGTGGGCACTAGAAAGGTTTCCAGAAATGCTTCCCACCCAACATATCTCAATCTACAGTGGCTTTTCCAATTCACCTAAAAGCAGCAGATCATACTTATACTTACATGGGCCTCTAAAATTTTTTTAGGAGTCAGTGATTCTTGTTCTCCTTGGCCCCTCTCCTGAACTTGAGGTGGCTCTTCCTCCTCCTCTTCCTCCTCCTCCTCCTCCTCATCCTCCTCTTCATCTTCATCTTCCTCCTCATCTTCATCATCATCCTCATCTTCTCCTTCATCATCACTAGATGGAGAAGTTTATGCAAAATGTTATAAATATAGCTACTTCTACATTCCATGCAAAAACATTTTATTGCCAGTTGATAATAAGCATAAATTAATGTACACATACAAATAAGTAGAACATCCAAATTAAAACATTTCTTGAAAACTTAAGAAATCCAATTTCCCTCAGAGCAATTTTGCATAATTTAAAAGCCATCCAGAGAAATACCATTATTAAAACTGACAGTAAACTACCTCAGTGACAAAAAGGGTATCTAGTTTACCAACACTGGTATTGCATCTCTAAGAAATCTAGGCCCTGAGACAAAAAAACCCCACAGTTTCCCTTTGACCTGGCTGTTGAATGTAAGAACCCCAATGAATCAGATCTAAGACCTAACATCTTGTTTCCCACAAGCACCAGTGAGATGCCTGCAGGAAGCCCACAAGAAAAGCGTGAGCACAATAACCTTCTCCTGCTGTTGTGTCCCAGCAAATGGCATTTAGAGGGTACCTACTTCTGATCCTGGGTGTAGCATATAGACACTGGATAGCCTCATCCTTTATGGATTTCTCTAATCCCCTTTTAAAGCCATCTATGCTAGATGGATTATCACAAGTTGTGGTAATGAATCCTATAAGTAAACCAAAGCTGGCATTGTTGTGCGGCTGTCAACGGCCCATGTTTTAAAAGGGGCCCTGGCCAGTCCCTAACCTGTTCATAGTGGTCTAGCAACAAGACTTTGGCTGTAGAGGGTGAACGTGGGACTGCTGTAGCTCTCAAAAGCCTGCTGCCGATGCCATCAACAGGTACTGGCAAGCCATGGGCCATGCTGAGCTCTGGCAGGCTTTCAGGAGTCTAGGTGTTGCCATAGCAGCCTGGGCTGCTTCAAAACCCTGCCAATCAGCTGTTGGCAGGTCAGACCTGGCAAATCTGGATAACAGCAGACACAAAGATTACAGGCAATCGGCACAGAGGAGGAGGAGTGCGTGCATTTGTGTACTTCATGCGTACACTCAAAAACGCAGAGAGGAATTCAGGCAAAGGTGTGGAAGATACTGGCAAGGAATGCAGAGAAATCAAGGAGGAGCTTGAAGGGTGTCTGCCGGGATTGGCTGCAGCAGTTTTCCTTAGCAGATACAGGGCTGCCTTCATGGATAGAGGAAGGCAAGAGAGAAAAAGTGTGGAAGATAAAAGAGAGCGCTAAGTGGCACTTATTCCTTATTTGGTAGATGAGCTGTGTTTGAGCAGTCAATTTGTTTCTATCCTTTTAAAAATATTATAGAACATAGAGAACTTTCTTGGACGATGGACAGAGAAAAGGAGCAATAAGATACAGGTCATTTCCTGGTTTATACTGAGAAATAATTTTAAATCTCTCCCACCACCTGAGGGAGGCAGCTAGGGAGCATTGTCTATTAAAATACATGGGAAAAATCAGATTTTAGTGTAACTAACCTATCATATAAAGGGTAGCATTAAAGAGAGGAGTTCTTGCCCTTTTTAATGTGGGTATAAAATGTTGGAGATGGCAGTATTTGCAGACTTGGTTGCCTGCCAGGGCAAATTCCAGAAAGGATGCAAAAACAACACAGTACCTTGAGGCACTTTAAAAAGTAACAAATTTATTCTAGTATAAGCTTTTATGGCCTATAGCCACTTCATCAGATGCATGGAGTATTAGATTCATATATGATATGGGAGGGATGGGGTTAGAATTGTAAACAAGTTCAGAAGACATTAAATGCAGAAAGTACTGAGCGTGATAAACACAGTATTAACCAAAGGTTATTCACAGTGCACTTGTTGGTGATAATATGAACATCTTGGCACTGGGTAGGCTAATTAAGCCTTTATTAATGGATAATACAAACCTATTATCCAAAATACTCCCCAGTGATAGAATTAAACCTGCCAAAGAATTCTAAGTCAGCAGTTTCTTGCTCTAATTTCCCCTTGAAGTTTCTTTGCTCTGTAATGGCTTCTTTAAGCCCAGTGACACAATGCACTGTAAGGCTAAAATGTCCTGCCCAGTGAACTTAAAGCAGTGTCACTTAAGTGCTGCCCGAGAAGCAGCCCTTGCACAAGTACCACTACTTGGCCTTCCTTTCACTAGAGAGTTTAGGAACCACAACAGCAAATTACTACAGCCTCTTCTTGTATCTTACCTCAAGGATCCAAGCACCTCTGCCATGTTGAAACCTTCAAGAATCTCCTGAAGTTGTTCACAGCCTTCCTCCCCAAAGCAGTTGCCTTTGAAAGGACAGACAATAAACTGACGAAACTGAACAATTGCTAGAAGTAGTTTTGTCCTGTCTATTCAACAGAGCCAGTGAAAATGACCTATGCTCCCACATCTGGGGGAAATTATCATTGCTTCATTATCATTTTTATACAAAAATAAACTCTGAATGTTTCTATGCAACTCCAGTTGATTTGCTACATTAAATGACAGTATAATTTTTAATGCCCATAATATATTGTCCTTGTTGGTGCTGAAACACTTCTGATATTGGTTGGCTAAGCTGTTGAAATGGTACAGAAGATTCATAATCATTAAATCTGCTCACAAAACAAAGCTGTCAGGTTGTTCCTATTCTGGCTCTGAAAGTATGAGTGAGGACTAAAACCAGCACAAGCCAAAGGAACTACAGTAGTTTAGTGTGGCCTAAGGACTTGGATGAATTCTCAGGAGTTAGGGACACTAAAAGACAGGAAACTCAACTGTGAGGTGGTAAAAAGGAAGGTGCAGGCTAAAGAATTGGAAGTGAGAAAAGGTGCAGGTGGGAAAATCAATGGAAAGGGGCTTGAGGATTATAAAGGAGCTGATACAGTGTTACATGCTGACTTGAACTAAATGGCCAATTCATTTGCCACAAATTTCGAGTTCCTAATGTAGCACCATCAACATGGACACAATCCTGTACCATTGAGATCCAGCTTCTCCAGTTCTGACTTGTCCTCAGTAGCTTCAGCAATGATCAAAGCAGCATCTCGCTTGATTTCACAGAAGGACAGGTTGAGTTCCTGAAAGTAAGAAGGCATGTTTTATAGGAATATGCAGTTGTACATTTTTGAGAGAAATAATTAAAACAGTTCTTCCACATGCATCTATGTTAAAGCCAGTAATTTTCACACTGCATTCTACCATGCAAGGAACAGAAAGACACTTCATACTGGGTGGGGAATGGCTTGATGAAAAATAGGCCAGCAAGTCCTTCTTTTCTTGATTCAATTCAAGGACCAAAAAACTAATCCTGGATGAGGTTTCACGTTGACCATATTTGCTCATTTTGGAAAGTATTTCATATCTCAATTTATCACCCAGTGTACTTCAAGTGGTTTAACACAATACAGAGACATTGGGGAGATTTATGTCTTAACAATATTTTTATGCCCCCCAATACCAAAATCTTCTATTAGAGCTCAGGAGTGGACAAGAGGAAAGAGATTTTCCCCCTTGTCCACTGCTGGGCCTCACTCCCAAGAAACTACCTGGCTCAGCTGAATGGTTTCCAGGACAGAAATTGGGCCTGCGATGCAACCAGTAGGCCATCCAACAAAATCATCCTTTTCCTTCCTCCTGTCTGAGGCAGGAAGCCCGCAAATAAGCATGGGCTATAGATGTGCTGTTTCAATAGCTACATTATATTCAGTAAGATTAAGCTGTAAACAGTACCTTAAGCTTATGAAGTCCTTCGTTCACAGCTTCCGCAATTGCAACAGCACCCTTTGAACGAACCAGGCAGTCCCCAAAGTTGATCACTTCTATTTGTCGGAGCTTCTTTAGGGTCTGTGTAGAACAGAAAACATGGGAAACCAAGAGTTCAGTCACTGACCATGTAAGACTAACTATTTATTCTTCTCGGAACTTTGTGCCAAAGCACTGTTAATATTAACAGGTATAAATTATAACAGAAAAGAACTCACCTCTGCCATGGCCACAGCCCCCTTCTCTGTGAAAGTGTTATCATTCAAGTTGATAACTCTCAGCAATGGATTGACACCAAAAGCCTGAGCCAAGGCTGTGATTCCTGGATGGTTGATGCCATTCTGAGGCATGTGAACTTCTTCCAAAGTCCCAATAACCTGAGGAGCAACACAGTATAGATATCCTGTGAAAAGGTGATGTTAAGTGATAACTCTGGCAAAATGGTGTTTTCAGAACGTTTGCTCCCTATAGCTGCAGTAGTCTTTGGACTGCAACTTTTATACACCACAAAGCATTCAAAAGGAAACAAGATTTTCAGTATTCCAAATAGCTAGCATATACCCAATTATTCCAGAATGTTGGGAACCTGAAGCTATTTTGTTGCTTGAAGTTAACTTCTAAAAGATGTGATACAAACCCAAGTTTCTAGACTTCAAGTAAAAGGCCTATATATTAGAAACTAGACTGTTAAGCAGTATAAAACAATATGCTTTTAGTGACATGGTCCAATATTTTAAATACATTGGGATGTAGCTGTTGAGGTCTGTGGTTGCTCAGGAGATGAAGAGGCACAGTAGGAACACTCCTCTCCTACAGGCAAGGTTTTCCCTCTCCCTCTCCCACCCCCAGCCTATATGCCAGTTAGTTCACCAAATAAGGATCAAGAATCAACTTGAGCATAGAACAAATACCTCAGCCCCCAATAGGCTATCTAGAGCCCATGAAATGTGCCTAGTGCTTCGTTCGCTTTTCAGTTGCTTAATATTGCCTGAGGTCTGCTAAACTTTGTGTTAGATGTCAACTGATTAGATTCCAGCTCTCTCTTTTCTGCAAAGTCATCTAAGCTTGGGCAGGAAGCTGAAATTTTGAACTAATATTTGGTGGCAATTTTTGATGGGATGAGGACAAACCATCTAAAGCGTCATCCTTTCATGCTTAGGAGGAATTAGTTTCCGTAAGGACAATCCTACAGGATGAATTGAGCAAAACAAGAAGCTGTATAGACAAACCTCAAGTAAGCCAGCATTAGGTATTTCAGAAGGAAACAGAGAGCGCAGACAAGCAAACAAGTGGCACAATTTGGAAAGAGCATATAGGACCAAAACATCACTAGCTTCCTAACTACCCATGATGAGGGAGTTGCAAATAGGCCAATCTGATGCTGCAGCAAACCTACCCACGACTCAAAGTGCTTCATGAAAGAAAGAACAAAGTTATAGCAAAGCATTTTTTAAAAATAAAAAGGTTAATATACTTTTGGAGGGGGAATGTGCATGGCCCTTAGGACTAATTTTACACTGACATAAACTTTCCTTCCCATATAACAAATATCAGGTTAAATTTGGGGTGCAGTCCTGTGCATGTGTAGACAGGAAAAATGTCCCAAACTCACAGCATTCACCAACTCGGAAATGCTAGGACTGTAGGAATTTTTTCCAGTCTAAAATTGCATAGGATTGCACCCTTAGCCACTTTATATCAAGGTTCTACTTGTTGTACTTACACTGAATGCCTCAGCAAGAGCAGTTGCACCATCATTTTCCAGGCGATTCCTGCCAGCCATGAACACTTTCAAAGCCAAAGGCTTCCCTTGAGTACTTGACTTTCTGTGACACTCTTTCAGAGCTCCAGCCAAGATCTGAAATCAAATTGACATTTTACATTGCTATAATTATCGTTTTAGCCTGAGTAATTGCTTTCTTGCAAGGTTCACATTTAAGCTTCTGCGACCTATACATAACCAGGCACTCTGGGCTAGAAACTTTGCACATCACTAAAGGCATTAGCATGAAGGTAATTTAGGCCACCAAGATGTGATGATTCTGCTGTATGACCTCAGCTCAGATTTCCCATGCATGGGAGATAAGAACATGGGGGGGGGGGGGTTGCCCATCCTCACAAGTTATGGTTTTGGTTCCCTCTCAAGAATCCTCTATGGCAGGCAAAAGAATACATTACATGTTGTTTTTTTAATATGTCCTACAAAAACTGTTTTTTTTCACCATTAGAGAAATACAAGACTGCCAACCTTGTTTGTGGATGGTTCAAAGATAACAACCTAAAGCAACAACAGTGAAAATGTAACAAGGGAGTGTGGAAATTCAGGACTCTGCAACCCATCCTTGTACAGACTTGCCCTTACCTTGCCACCACCAATGCCCATGCCACAATTGTTTAACTTGAGCTCCTGCAGGGTGAAACAGGTAGGGCTCTTCAACAATGCCTCAAATGCACGCACGCCATCGGGACCAAAGGCATTGTCACTGAGATCCAGCTCAATAAGCTGGCAGCCAGCAGAAATGAGGGCTTCTCCAAGAGAGATCTGCAAAACAACCAGAAGATTCAACTTGACTAAGTCTCTTCTCTTACAGAGGAAGGAGAGATCTTGCTCAATGTGCACAAGGTTTTGTGATCCACGACACACCAGTTCAAACTACCTCCAGAATTAAAGGGAATAGCTGAGCTGATGTGTAAGGGTGTGCATTAAGAAAAATACCAAGTGTACAGGTATCAGTCTTTCTATGCTCAGAGGGCCTTACCAAGTATGTCTGTAATAGACGCCAATTTTGCAATGACTGTTAAGCAAATCTCATGTACCATATAGCCCCTTTTATAGTTATGTGTGGGTTGTTTATCCCTTGCATAACTTTTGCTTGCTGGGTTTGCACATGAAAACCCTGAATGGAACCTGGATGTGCAAACTGATGGCTGCTGGTGCTGCAGCTCATTGTGGGTTAAACATGCTATGTCATCTAAACATAATCTTTATCTCAGGTTCTTTAGCTGCACCTTTGAAAGAGCTGGCAAGCAGACAGGATGACCAAGCTACATATACCCACTACCTTGCCTAGATATGACTTGACCTCCTAGCTTTTTCCCTACAAGTGTTTTGTGTCTTTGAGAGGCAGAGGACTCAACAAACAACTTATGATGACCTTCTACCCTTCTTTCATAGAGTATACATGTCTGCTGTAGAAGCAGGCAGGAGCATTCCTACGGTAGCCAGGAAAAAATGCCAAGCTAGAGGATTCATGAAGAAAGAACATGATGGTCAAAGGATTGTATCAACTTACCAGAGCAGGCGGAATCTCAGACCTCAGTCTCCCAGTGAACATATCACTCCAATGACACCTCTAGAATAAGACATGCATATTATATACCCAATTAAGAATCACAGTGCATTTCTTACTACCTATTTGAACTTAGTTCTCTATAAGAAATCTAATAGACAGAACTATTCAGCCCATATGGTACAGGAGGGTGATAAGCAGGCCACCATGCTAATTTCTAAGTCCCTGGTCTACACTGCTACCACCACTGCAAGCCCAGTGTTCTCCTGGTAAATGTGTTGTGCAGGTAAAATGTATCTAGTTGCCAAGTTCTCAACAGCTACATGAGTTTACTTGGATATAATGAGCACAGGGAGTGTAGCTCTGTTCCTGGCATAATAATATACTGCAGAAAAACAGGGCTCAGATGAAGGCTCTGTTTGCATGCCCTGCTCCTCTATAGAATGGCACTCCCAACAGCATGATCCCCAGAGGCATTGTTTCCCAGCAGAACTGCTGGATCTGGGTAGCAGTAGCTGCTTTTGTCAGTAACAGGGCAGCAGTGCAACAATGAGCCTCCAAAACCACTGCAAACTGTCCATCCTGCAGAATGCAGATTGCTTCGCTCACAAAGAAGTTATTTCTAATATGCAATATAACATTTAATAGCACACAGCACTGATGCCTAAGAATTAAGAAGTTGAGGATCACTATCCTCCAAAAGAAAGCACACAGAAGAATGTTCAGAAGAGTCATTTGCCCAAACATTCATTGCAACACCCTCCCTCAACCTGATGCCATCAAAAGGTGTTGGAGCACAACTCACAGAATCCCCCAGCCAATCATGGATGGGCCAACACAACTGAAGGGTGCCAGGATGGGAAAAACTGCACAACCAGTGTAAGGACACAATCTTGTGCATATCTGAGCAAAAAAAGTCATATGACTCCCAGGTATGGATTTTCATTCTCCAACAGAATTTCAGAAAGTTCTATGGATAATCCACATTATTCAAAACTGCTAATGCAATTTTACATGTTTCTCATGCTTGCCCAAACTACATATGTTCTTGTGTTTGTGTCATCTGCTAGTCAAGTAGTTGGTGAATTTAAGGTACAGTTCCATCACTACTTTGCCCTACAGGAATTATGTAAAATATTGAACTTTCTACACTATCCTTTGTCATTCATAGAAATGCTCACCTTGAGCTGGGATTTCTTTTCCAGAGCCTTGGCAATGACTTTTGCTGCTTCCACCCCTACAGTGTTGCCTTCTAGACGGAGTGCTTCCAGGCCATCAAACTCCTCAATCTCTTTAATCACCTCTTCAGCTGCGCAGAGCAAGCACATTTTTACTCCTTCCTAGTTGTGCTATTTCAATTCCTTGAAAACTTTACATTGACAACCTAGACTGTGAATTTGAAAATCATTCCCTTGTTTATACATTTCATAACTAGCAAGGCTTTTATTATAGAAGAGCAAAGAGAAAGCATTTGCCTATGAAGTGTGATTGAATACCCATCTTGCATTTTGAAACCAAAATCAAATATTAATCTGGTTTCCTAGGAATCTGTTTTTCTTTTCTTTCTTCTTACTAGTGTTTCTGTTCTGTTCTCATGCATGGGAAAAGGCAGCAGAGCTGGGAACTGATGATGCAGAGGAAAGAGATGGGGAGGGAGTGGCCCTCTTCCTGATATCCAGTCCCTGGGTGTGTCCCAAGAGGGAATCTGCCTCCTGAGGCCAAAACAGGCTACACTGCCCCAAATGCTGTTTTTCAAGCAACTGTCAGAAACCTTTCTTCAATCAGCCGCCAACTGCCAACCAGAAACCTAGCAACCTCATCTGCATGCTCTAGACAGGATGCGCACTGGAAGAGCATGGGAGGGAAGCGCCACTTTAACTGTCAGGCAAGCTTTTCAGATGAGCAGCCATTTTACAAATCTATTATGAACTAAAGGACTGGAGCGAATTTGTATAAACAGTTTCTTCTGCCTGCTCCCCTGTAAATGGACAAATAATCCATGACCTGTTTATCCATACTTTGGATGATCATATCTCAGTTTAATAAGCAGAGAAATGCATGGACCTTTGGTTTGAACACACAGTCGCTTCTTTCCTCCCTTCATAGCTCGCAGGAATTAAACTTTGGAAGTCTCTGATTAAACACAGTTTACCATTTCATCAGAACAAGCCAGGATTTTAAATGTTTTCAAATTTACTTTGGATTCTGGGAGGAGAAAATGGGTTATGTGTACAGTACAGCACACAGCTCTATATAAGATTTAATGTTCTTCTCTTATATTCTTGTAGTCGTGGTTCTTAACATAAATCCATGTAACAGAGAAAAGGATTTGGGAAGCTACAATTTGCCTATCCCAGCTGAAATGCACATTTATAGTAGCGTAAACCAACATTATTATGATATATCCACATAGCTTCTTTGGGCTTCTTCAAGATGCGATTATATTGTGGAAAAAACCAAAATCAAAACTGCAACACCAGCTGCAGTGCAATTTCTCTTACCATCTTCTGCAGTATTGAGCTTCATACTCTTTCCTTTGAAGCTAAGTTGCCCTCCGCCCACTTGTGTTTGAGCAAGGGACTCTGCCAGTTTAGTAATGTCATCTGATGCCATTTCTGGGTTGTATCAAGCTTTGCTGATTACCAGTTGGGAAGGATGCTGAAAAAACAAAGAGAAAAATTAGAAACCGTCAATGAGGATAGGGAGGGATGTAATTCTAAGGGAGCAGACCCCAAGGGAATGCTCATATTCTTCCCATCCTCTCCTTGAGATGTACTCCAATGCAAGGTAGCCATACATGATTATTCTGTTGAATGTGTTGTTTTATGGTTAAATATTTTCATGTTTAATCACTTACCCTCTCTTTCATTGCTTTAGTTCTCACTGAAAAACAAAGTAGCCAAAAGAGAGGAGAGGAAAGGGTTCAGTCAGGAAAGCAATTACTTATACAAGCAATTTTTTATTGGATAATAATCTTTGGACTACCTTAGATTCTAGTATGCCCCAAGAAGAGAACAGGAATGCTCAAAACAGGTTAATAGAGTGAATTTTCCCTGCAAAGACAATAAGACAGACAAAGCTACTGGATCATGTCACAATCAGTCAAAGCTATTGGATCATGTCACAAGTTGCAGGGGAAAACAACAAAAACAAAACATTACCCAAGTTACCATACACCAATTCTAAGAGCTATACTGTTGATGAGCGTGTGCCACAATGCTTCTGCCAAGTTCCACATAAATAATGCAGCTTGGCTTGGTATTCAGAGTCAGCACATTTCGAGAGAGAACTGATAGCACGAGACCAGAGCTAAGAGCACAAGAGTGTCAAATAGCTGGAAAGCCACATTTACCAACCAGGAGCTCTTAGGAGGTTGCATCCCTATTTGAAAAATCATCAACACATTCATTTAGCAAATATTTATTTTCTCAAGTCCTGCACCTGATTTCTAAGTATCCACATTAGAAGTGTGGAAGTACGTGTATAGCCCAGGCAAAGAAAAACTCAGTGGGGGAAGCAAAGGACTAAAACAAAAAGCAGCAGTCAGACTCCTCATCCTCATATTTTTCTTTCTTTTCTCTCGGTAGTATGTGAAGAAAAGGAAAGGAAGCAATTGCTCAACAACACATTCTGATCCTTTAGCCAGGCTCTATCCCAGCCAGTAGCAAACCTGCAAAAAACCTGAACTGGCACAGAAAAGCTCTTATTCTAAATTTCACACTAGATTACACTAGCACACATGCATAGAATTGCTTGGCATGTTTTCCAAATGTGTAAGATGCACACAGGTAGCAGAATTCAGTTGTACTGAAAATTGAGGGCACTATGCTAAAAACAACTCTGCAGGCACTTTTCAAATTATAATGGGAACTGCCATCAATTTCAACGTTAAATCATACTTGGACATTTAGCCAAGGCACTCAGTCCTCCTAAATTATGGACTAAATAAGTATTCATCATTCTTGCTTTTTAAAATGTTCACAGTTTGAATAATATTCTTCCAAATTGTTCAAATAAATATCCCTCTAAAGCTGACAGCAAAAGATAGTCTGCCATCTCACATATTTCAAAATGTTATATATCAGTCTCCCTGGTTAGATAGTTAGGAATACCATTTGCTTGTTGTATTTGCATGTCTGCACCTGCACATATCCACAGAACTGCCTTCTGCTTCCTGCTTTCTAAAAGAAGTATCACCTTCACACTATATTTAGACTGGAGGTGTCACATTCCTCCACAGACCTAATTATACCTACTGGCATTAGTATTCTATTAACTATCTTTCAAGCTACCTGGATTCCATCAGAATCCTGATTCAAAATGGTACTTTGAAATACTCTTCAGCTCTGACATTGTGGAACATTCAGGTGCAAAGGCAGTAGGCCACTACTGAATAAAACAAGAGGAGAGAAATTTTTACTTTGCTGTCCTGCTTGCTGTTTTCCCAGAGGCCATCACAGGAAACAGAACACTAGACTAGATGCACCTTCTCTGATTCCACAAGTTATATCTTATGTTTAGAAAGAGCATCATAATTACAACAGACAATAGTTATCAGCATGCCAATCAAATCCTGCCCTCCTAACTTATAGGCAACTTAGTCTATGAAGCAACCTGTTTGATTTTTGGCTGTAAAAGTATGCACCAATCCACCTTCAACATCACATATTGGTGGGGGGCATCTGTGTGCACGTATGTTGACACTTGAGGACACAGCGCTCACATTAAGAGCCGCACCTAAGATAACCAGGGATCCTTACAATTATTTATGTAAGCATTTTTTTAAATTATGAACCGCTTCTCCATGTGCTCAGAGCAGCTTAGCAAAAATTGATTTCTACAAGATCACACTCATCAGCATGGCAACAGATCAGTGTTTTTGTTTGGACAGGTATATGTTGCAAAATAATATATGCAGTTGTTGTTGACCATATAGCAATCACTGTTGCAAGGCAGCCCTCAAATTGTTTTGTAATGCTTCTGGCCCTGCCTGGACAGCAAGGGCTACTGTCCCACACTACAGCTATTGTCTATAGCTATAATGTACTCCTCACATATGCTAGCTGACAACTTATACAAAATGGGGCACACATTTTAAAACTTTTTAAAAATTTTGTAGTGTGGAAAATTGTTATGGATGTTTGTGCCATATTATGTTCTACTTCTAGGAACTGTTACAATTTCAGGAGAGACTATTGGGCAGTATAGAAATGAAATTAAAGGAAGTCACAACAAGATAATGCCCAGGAATTTATGATACAATTTTATCACATAATAATAAAGCCCAGTCTTTCCCATTTCCATCCAATTCTAGAAAGTTTGTTCAGAGGTGGACCCACACTGAACTAACAAGTTAAGATTTAATCTGGATAAGTTAATAGTGGTGTAGGATGACATCAGTGACTGTACTGTCTCAAAGAATCAGGTTTGTTGTCTTGGATTACTTATGGACTGTGGTTAGGAGTGTTTTCGTGCAGCTTCAGTTTCTACACCAGTTGCACTCATCCTTTCAGAAAGGATGGCCACTGTCAAGCATGCTTTCATCAGATATAAATGATGCCAGTCTACATCCTACTTTACATGGTGGGTTGTCATGTCATGTGAATCTAGCATAGTTCTTGCAGGCTGGCTTATTTTTCAGAACAAAACACACTGAGAATCCATGGTATTTTTAGGATTGTTCCTACCCATAGTAAATTGTTTCATCCAAACCCAGCAAAGCGATTTTATCACAGGTTGCCAAGACTGGCTAGAGAGCTGCCGGCCTGAGTGCTCCACACAGTCACATTCATCCAGTTGCTATGCTGCCTTATCCCTTTGCAGCGGACAGTTGTCCTTAAATGCCCACAATCTTCCCTTTGCAATGACATTTGTATATGTTTACTGATTCCATTCACTGCTCTGTAACTCCTATCAAGGTGCTCTGTATCAAGTGCTCTGTAATTCATATACAAGATGTGTCAGAAATAATAGAAGAAACAAGCAGAAAGGGAAAGCCAAAGGCATTTTGGTAGTGGAAGCTCTTACTTTCAGAGTGGGTGTGCTTACCTTAGAGTAATATGATGCTGGCTTTTTTAAGGTGTTTGCTAGCTACAATGTAAGCGCCAAAGTGGAAGAGAGGAATACAAGAATGCTTGGCTAAATATCTGAGAGGAAGACTTATGCAACAACAATAAGCCCTTCTCCCAAAAGTTGACAAATGTATATCATATTCATAAGGGCTCATAAAATTAATTCTAAATAGCAAGTTGATTCAGGGAAAAATGGAGTTCCCCTTGCTTAGTCAGCAACCCCAGTGGTCCAACTGCAGAAAGGTGCTGACACAGGGACTGGGTTCTGCTGCAAAGGGGCCTGTGTGTCAGAACCAGCAGGAGGACAAAGGGAGAATGAAGAGGAGAAGTTAATTTTTTTTTATCAGAAGAACAAACAAAGAACTTGGTTACTCATTTGCAGGAAGAATGACATACAAACCTGCACGGGGCATTCTCCAAAAAGTGTTGAAAAACTTCAGCCAATACAAAAAGCTATACCCCGGGCTTTTTTTTTCAAAGAAATGGACTTTACTAATCACTAGCTTCCAATTCACTTCCATTCAAAAAGTGCTGGCAATTTCCTTTACAATTCTAAATCAGGAGCATGGAACCTATAGTCCTACAGATATTGTTTGACTATAATTCTCACAGCCCTTGACCATAAACTATGCTGGCTGGAGCTGGAATCCAAAAACATCCAAAGGGCACAAGTTCAGAATACCTGCTCTAAATGGTTAGGGAACAAATTATTTAAAAGGAAAGCCTTCCTGCAATACACTATTCTGTCCACCCACTGTTCTGTATTCTAGTACCCTCAGTCCTGGAATCAGTGAAAACACAGGGCAGGGCTTTTGGGCTGTAGAATTTGGTGACACTGTTTGGCTCAGAAGGCCTCAGGATGTACTAGCACATCATTTTCTTAAACCATCTTTATTATTACCTTGTGGGAAGAATTAAAGAGTCATGCTGGATCAGACCAAGGGTCTGAGTAGTCCAGTTGGCTGTTAGAAGACCATAAGTACATATGAAATAAAAGTCCACTCACATTCCCCAGCAACTGGTACACAGGAACATACTCGGTCTCTGATCCTGAAGGTAATGTACAGCCACCATGACTATTAGACAAAGTCATTAATAGCTAGATCCCCTTTTAAAGTGTTCCAAATCAATGGCCTTTACTGCTTGATGTGGTAGCAAATTCCACAGTTTAAGATGCACTATGTAAAGAAGTACTTCCTTTCATCTAACTTGAATCTCCCTCCAATCAGTTTTGCGGGATAATCATGGGTTCTAGTATTATGAGAGAGAAACGTATTAGGTTATCAGTTTTCTGTTCCAGCTGTTCAGTTATTGCTGAAAATTAAGATATGAATACTTTAATACCACATAAAAATGGTCCTGGAGTGGTTTGAGTTGTATACTCCTTTGTTGTAAGCATCCTAGCAGCTTTTATCTGTGCTAAACTGTTGAAGCACAGAGTCAACATCTCTTCAATTAAAAAGAGAGAGCAACGTTATTATTTACTTGTGATTTCTCCCCTATACTAACAGAATATCAACTTTTTAAACTGTCAGTCACTTCGGAAAACTCCCGGAAGTGCAACTTAATCTAGGACATTTGCACCCCTCCACCTCGCTTATTCCTCCTATTCATTATGTTTTCTTTACGCATTTCCTATTGTTGAAAGTTATTATTCTGCTTGTCAGTCATTGCTCAACCAGATTAGACACAACGTAAGCTTTTATTTAGCCAGTTTGGTTTGCCATCCTATGCACTTACTTGGGAGTAAGTCCCACTGAACTCTATGGAGCTTACTTCCTAGGAGACATGCATGGAGCTGTACTGTCAGCCTCTTTCCTCGAGCGGTGTCGCGACAGCGACAAAGAGGCAGGCAGGCAGGCAGGCGATCACACAAGCCTACTTGTGATCGTCGCTCTGTAATGCAAGAAATTCACATACACGCAACATCATTACACAATCCGACCTAGTCTCCCGGGCCATGCTGGCTGCCCGCATACTGAGGACCTGAAGCTGCTGAGCCAACGAGGGCATAACGTCATACAGGGAGGAGACAGGAAGGTTTTAGTCGGAAGAAGTGTTAACGGTGGGGAGGTTTCATCAGCGTCTTCTCTGACCGCGCAAACACGAGTTTAGTCCTTAGCAGCCGTGATACTTGTACAGCGGCGATCTATGTATACACTCACACGTGTAATCCAAGGGGCGAAAAACAAGGGTCTTCATTCCCAATAGTACCGACCTCTTTCCGCGCCGCCCGGCATGGCCAGCGCGGGGCAGATCTCAGGAAGAGAAGTTACTGACCCCCCTCCCAACTTACCAACGACCCTGCAATTAATCGACCCAGCCAACTGCCCGCACCTGCGCGCGCGGATCCCGCGGCCGCTTACCTGCGGAGCACCCGATTCCAGCTTGTCACGTTGCAGCTATTACCGCAGCCACAGCCTGCGAGGATGACGGCGTTACGGGAGGCGGAGGATTTGAAAGCCGGCAGTTTTTTTCCTGGGTTGTGATTCGCTCCTTAGTCTCCCCGCCTTTTGCGCTTGCGCAGAACGGCTTCCTTTTTCCTCTCTTCTGCTTTCTCGCTCTTTGTTGTTCTTGCTCCCAAAGGCACTTAGGCAACTGTAGAGTGGAGGCGGCAAGAAGAGGTCACAGTTT